GAAATTTTAGAAATGACTGAAATAGCAATCTGGGGGCCGAGGAAATGCAGCACATGCCAAGCCTGCAGCAAGGCTTTGGAGAAAGCAGGGGTGGTCTGAGCAAAGAGGAGAGGCCTGGACCAGGTATGCTTGCTGAGGCAAATGAGGTGACTAGAGCCCCCACAGTGGCCAAGGGCCTTCAGTCTATTCCATTTACTGTGGCAACTACCACACCCCCAAATTCTTTAAATATAGTAGTGGAAACTGAAGTGCATGACAATCTGATTGTCAGGGTTCCCCACAGACACAGATCACGTTGACACTGGAAGACTGTGTCGTGCTAAATCTAAATCACCCTCTCATACTTTACTAAGACAATTGAGGTCTTCTTTAGTCTACCATCCTTTTAAACTTGGGCTCAACCCAGGGATGTATTTTTCCTCTCACTCTGCGGGCTTCTGGGCACACCAGCAGCTGCAGTAGTCACTGAGGAATAAACTGTGATGGCAGAACTCAATCTGCATTTAATGAAGAGGCAGAACGTTGGACTTTACAAAATACAGTTGTTTTTCAGGGCATGAATTAGCAATTCACAATTGCTCCTCTGAAGTAATTTTTTACTATTTTGTTTATAGTTTAGCTATTCTTCACACTAAACAGAAGAAACGGAAGTATACTAACAAGGGAAACCAACAGCTAACTCACACAGCAGCCTGATCGATCGCTGCAGTGTGGCTTCCACTGACTTCCCTGCTATGAAGCTAAAAATATGCCCCACAGCAGAGCCTGCGTCTAACTTCTTCCAAAGACACACGCTAACAGTGGGGATAATATATCAGCGCAGTCCCTTCAGTCATGACTCCTTTTTTTTCAAATGTGGTAGCACCTTCGGCTCTTACAACTCAAATGCAGCGGTGGCTCTGCCTCCAAGAACCACAGTGCATGGCTCAGAGCAGTGTGAGAAGCGCACCCCAGCCGCAAACTCAAAGTCCACACTGGTGTGAGAAACTGTCCAGGGATGTGCAGGATGAAAATAGGGACTAGAAGCCTTTCATCTGCTCTCCTAGGAATGCAGGTCAGACCAAATCTGTGGGAGGCACATTGAAATACAGAACAGATTCCTTTTGCATTTCTATTTTGGAAGGTATGTTTGTCTACACAAATTAACAGAGCCCAGAGTGTGGGGCTTTCTTTTTTTTTTAAGATTTATTTTATTTTTATACAAGAATGGGGGTACAGGCCAGATGTGTGGGAGGGTGAGAGGACCCACCAGAGACCGAGCAGGGAGGAGAACAGGCAGACTGACCAAAATACACTGCTGAGGGGAGCAGTGGGCGAGACAGGAGAGGGCTGCCTCACCATGTGGGATTCTCGCCGGCCGGCTGGGATTGAACCTGCACTGCAGAGGCTGCGGACAGCTTCACAGAGTGGTGCTCAACCCGCCTGCGCCACCAGAAAGGACCGCAGGGCTTTCCTTTAATGTCACAAAACAAGTTTGTGGCAGTTGTCACTCCCTTCTCTGTCCTATCAGGGACTCTGTATCTTCCCGCAGAGAGCTCTGTAAACTCTTCACTGACCTGTCTACCCTAAGACTGGCAAACTCTCTTATATTCCAAGTAGTTCCTAGCAAAAGTACTTTCCTCCCAGAGCAGTAAGTGAAACTGTCTTGACTGCCCTAGCCACACATCTCCGTCCCTGCTGTGCCAGGAGTTGGAGATGATCCTCACTAATGAAAATTTGGGACAGTTACGTATTAATTGGGAAACTCCCCTATCACTTCACTTTTGATTGTCTAGATTTTTTTTTTTTTCAAAATTTATTTAGGAGGAAATGTCTAACACAAATCCAACAGAGAAATGGCTGCTGAACTGAGGGACAGTGAAAACAATTCACCCACAGGAAGTAAATGATGAATTACTTAAAAAATAACATTCCTGTTCTCTTAAATAAATCCCCTCATCCAGCATAGTTTGGGTTTCCTATCCTAAAAAAAAAAAACAGTTAAACCAAAGGTTAGGATAAAAATGAGCCCCCTCGGGCCTCCCCTGGTAGCACAGCGGTTGAGCGCTGGGCTGCGAGGCTGCCCGCAGCCTCTGCAGCTGCGGTTCATTCCCCAGGCCGCTAGGTGAGGGGCCCACAAAAAAAAAAAAGAGCCCCTCATCCACAGCATGGCAACATTAACACTTCAATGACCAGAGACCTTTTTCAAGTCTTTATTGCAGAGAATGCCCATAGACCAAGGTACATAATAGTGGCTTAGGGATTGCTAACACCCTAACAGTAAGGGCGATACCAAACAGTGTTTACATTAGTGGCTAGAATTTTTCAAAATGCAGTTTCATTTAATCCTTATAACAAATCTAATGAAATAGGTGTAATCATTATCAGCATTGTACAGATGAGGAAACTGAGGCACAGACAGATTAAATAGTTTATCTAAAGCCAGGCAGCTGGTAAATGGCAGAACCCAGACACTTGGGCTGCAGTGTCTCCACAGACCCGGGTGCTGTGCTGCCTCTCCTACAGAGCCCTCTATGTGCACCAGATGACAAGTAGGGAGTCCACATGTACATATTTAGAATAATCCATCAGAAAAGCTTCTTTTGTTATGAAATAAAATCCAGGCCTACCTAAACAGCAAACATACTCCAAATAAATTAAACCAAACCTACGTTTTCAAGATGGTAGACTTACAAGTACATTTACCTCCACTCATTTCTCAAATCCTATTTATACAACAGTAAATTTTAAAGGAAGAATAAAGCAAGGTGGTGCAGAGGGCAGGTATAGGTAATGTAAGTAGGAGCTAATCAATGAGAAAGCAGAAAAGAAAAATCACAGTGAAACAGGTAAGAAGGCCTCCTACTGCGGTAAGAACTATTCTTCCTGATAACACCAAGTGCAGCAGAAACAGGAACCTCAGTAGTGTATGACAGGGTTTCAGATGTTATGCCCAGGTTGATCTGGTAAAAATGGCAAATATCAGTAGTGAGGAACAGCTCCCCAATAGGGGAGTTTTTGCCAAGCACGGGCCTTCTAAGCAGCACAGGTGAAAAGCAAACAGTAAAGGTGCCCTTCCCAGGGCTGCAAGAGAGTGAAGTATTCCTGTCCACAGTGCAACCTTCCTTGTAAAAAGTGAATAGCATTATAAAACTTTTGAGGAAACCTAGTGTAATTAACGTAATCCTGTATTTATAAATATGAATGGATCACCAAGGAGCAAAACAACACAAAACTTAAAAAAAGAACTAAAATGGAAGGGAACAAGTAAACGCTGACATAACTGATATTTGGGATTATAACAAATTATGTTACCTGTACTAATGGAGGATATAAAGCACAAGAACCCTCAAACTACAGCTGACACTGAAAATGTGATTTCTAATACTCAAAGAACATTCCATTGACTGATAGGAAAATGAACTTTCCTTCTTTAGAATTTATGCACACACCAAAATTCTAGCCCTAACCCAAATCTAATACTTGGGAGAATGCCTTTTCTGTCTTAAATCTCTTGTATTTTAAATAGGGACAAAATTTTGTCCCATATGCCTCAGAAGAGATGTTTTGACAAGTCCAGACCATACTCAAAAGAATCAAAAACAGGTAAAACACATTTGATTCTGAAACAATAGTGATGGTGAACAGTCACTGCTAAACTTGAATAACAAGATACATCGGCCTTTAAAATGAACTGCACATAATTCATTTACATAAGAATAAATGTTCTACCGTGATTTTTCAAGTGGAGGTTTTATTTTTTTTTTCTTTAAAAATTTATTTATTTATTCATTCATTTATTTATACAAGCACTGGGTACAGTCAGAAGCGCGGGAGGGTGAGAGAATTCACCAGAGCCAGAGCGGGGAGCAGAGCAGGCAGAAGGACCGAAGCACACTGCTGAGGGGAGCAGCGGGCGGCAGGAGAGGTCTGCGCGCCATGTGGGACCCTCCTCTGGTGGCCGGGGAGCAGCCGGGGATCGAACTGGCGCCGCAGAGGCCACGGGCAGCTTCGCAACCCAGCACTCAACCGCTGCGCCACCGGGGAGGCCCTCAAGTGGAGGTTTTAAATAGAGCTAGCCATAAGTATTAAATTCTTTGTTAAAATTTGTTATATCTGGGCCTCCCTGGTGGCACAAGGGGTTAAGACACAGTCTATGAAGCTATCCACAGCCACTGCAGCACAAGTTCTATCCCTGGCCAGGGAGCTACCCACATGGTGCAGCAGACCTCTCTTGACCCGTCTGCTGCTCCCCTCAGCAGTGTATTTCATCAGACTGCCTGTTCTGCTCCCCACTCTGTCTCTGGTGAATCCTCTTACCCCCCACACTTCTGGCCTGTACCCTGGTTCTTGTATGCATAAATAAATAAATCTTTAAAAAAAAAATTTGTTTTATCCATAGATCTAAGGCATCTAGAGGGGGAGAAAAGGGAGAGAGAACACACTGGTCAATGGAAGATGATCACAGGAGTTTTGGTGGTGAGAGAGCTATGGTGACCAAACCTGAGGGGAGAAATCCTATACTCTCAGAAGATCAACAATGGTAGTTCATTAAAAACTAACATTAAAAAGTATTTTCTATTAAAGGACCTAAGAGATATTGTAGCCAAAAAGATATAGTGAAAATAAATATAAATCTAGAACTTGCTTAGACTGACTCAAATCAATCATGAAAAGTGAATTTATAAGAAAAATCTAAACTGGGAAAATGTAAGCCCTACCTGGATATTTGATAAGAAGACATGATAACGGTGTTGGGTTGTTTGAAAAAACAAGTGGTACCTCTTACAGAAATACATACTAACATGTTTGCTGATAAAGTGATGTGATGTATATTTACACTGAAATAATATGAGGAAGCAGGGTGAAGTATAAATGGAAGGAACCTAGCCATATGGTCATAATTTTGAAGCGGAATGCTAGATTCACAGGTAATTATACCATTTTTCCCACTTTTACATACAGTTGAAATTTTCTCAATAAAAAATGCTCTAAGTATGCAATTCAAAGGTGATTCTTACCTCTGCTAGAATCTTTTATTACAATGTCAGAGATTTCAAACAGTTTCATAGGAAGGGGCATCTTCCGATTCGACGCTATGGTCTTCAGGAGGCCGGGAAGCAGGGTAGTGCGTGCCACCTACAGGGGAAACATGAAATTGCACTGACCAAACAGGAACCAAACATGCTTAAATTAAAAAATAGAAACACGCCACGGCCTCACAGAGTATTTCTGGAAAGTGCGAAGCCAAACATATCTAAGTCATTTCTAATTTCCAATTCCTGGATACTGAAAGTTCTGGCTTCCAAAGTTGCAAAATGAAAATTCATAAATGTGATTTTTAAAAAGTGAGGAAAAAAATGTTAAATATAATTGCTTTTACCTAGCATTGGTTATTTTATAAATTATCATTTTAAAACTTACCAAGATTTCAAAAATGTAAACTTTCATATTCTACCTTATTTCACAAATTGAAGCAGATTATAAGAAATACAAATGTTTAAATGGATTAAACATGTATCAATCAAAAATGTTAAAGCTGGGACTAGGGTAAATATAAACGCAATTAAAATACCAGAACAAGGAAAACAGAACACAAATATGTAAGCATTAGAAAAAGCATGTTGCTGCTGTGGACAGGTTGGAACTATAGCTTTCAGTTTAGAAGTTAAAACAAAAAAGGAAAACTGTACAGTTATTTCCTTAATATTCATAAGAAATACACATCCCAGTTCGCTAAAGATAAAAAGCAGACCTCTCTGGTGGCCTATCAGCACTATCACTACCACAGTCCGAGCCTGATATCCGGCCAGGTTGCTAACCAACATATGTCACAGCAGACCTCTCCTGTCTCACCCGCTGCTCCCCTCAGCAATGTACTTCAGTAAATCTGCCTGTTCTGATCCCCACTCCGTCTCTGGTGAATCCTCTCACCTCCCCCACACCTCTAGCCTATACCCCAATTCTTCTACACACAAAAAAGAGATAAAAAGCAAAACTTCACTGCTTTTGTCCTGTGAATGAGCTAGTGAGTGTCCAGCACATCACTCTGCTGGAGGGTTTATGAGCAGAGGTGTAACATCATCACTCAGCATCTGGGCTCTGCAGTTCCATTCCAAGCACCACTCTCTTGTCCAGACTACAGTGTGAACTTCAAGCTGGCTTTGCTGCTTCCACTCCTCTTGCCTTATGGTCTAATTTCCCCATAGTGGTCTTTAAGACCTCAGTTAGATCATGGAAATCCCTGCTCAACAATCTCCAAATTTCCCTCAAATTTTGAATAAAAACACACCTACAATGGACACTCTAGGAAATGCCCCACTTACTTCTCCAACCTCTGCTGCTCCCCCAACTGCCCCCCCCCATCCGGGGAATCAGCAGCCAGTTTCCACCTCGGGCCTCCTCACCTGCTTTTTCCTCTTCCTCCTACATCCTCCCTCTAGATTTGCATGTTATTTAGGCATGCTATTGCTATCATGGGGACTGTGATAATAGTATCTAAGTTTGTATACAATAATTAAAATATTCCATATTTTAACTAAATGACATCTCTTATTTTATCCATTCTCTAACATATCCAGTACAGTAAAGCAGCCCAAAATTAAGAATTATGCAGGAATAAAGAACGGACTTAGACAATAAGCTGAGTTAGACCATAACCTACTTTATAGTTAACTGTAAGTAATATACACCCGTTGGCACTTTAGTAATGGTAGATAGGACGTATCTACTGGTGAAGCAGGGGTAAAATATAGACTCTGTCAAATCTACAAGACAGACTTTCTTTCATCTCTAGTGTATTTTATGTAGAACTATTGATTTCCTAAGTGTGCTAAACCACAGCTATTTATAGTGACAATGTAATTCTTATTTGTTTTCCATCAACTTATCTAAAATAGATAAGACAGGATATAAACCCTAAAGAACACAACATTACCACATCTTAAGAAATCTATCTCACATGATAAATGAAATGGAAAGAAAAAGGAAATTTTGGAATAAACTCAAAATCCATTGAAATTTACTGAAAAATCACTATCCAAATGATTTATATCTCTTATCAAAAAGAACACCATGGGATCTTTAAAAGTAGCAGAAAGCTAGTGGACATCAGAAAACAAAACATAAAACCTCACTATCACAATCCATCCAAGCTGGTATTAAGGATTCTTCAAAGTTCTGGCGTGAATATAAAGAATTCATGTACTTGGTTGGGTATTATTACCAATGAGTTTTAACTAGTTTACCTCTAAATCGTAGGTAATTCTACAGGTAGAATTTAGATTTTATAAAGCTAGATTTAAACATTGGTTGAACTTTTAGAGCTTTTAGAACTAGCACAGCCCCCTACTTTTATAGAAATGAAAACTAAGATCAAAAGAAACTCAAATCAGAGTTCAGAAATTATTAATGCATTATTTCTTATTGAGGTAATGTTGCTTAACAAAATTAATAATGATTTAGAGGCATGGGTTCATACATCTTTAGATGTATGTTACCATACTACACCCATTGCCAAAACACCCTTAGTCCTCTACCATAGTTCACTGGGCCCCAACCCCTTTACTCTCCACTCCCACCCTCCCCCACTGACAGCTTCAATTCTACTGCCAGATTTCTAGGGTTTATTTTGGCTTAGTTTTGTCTGTGCACGAGTGAAATCATCATATATGTCTTTCTCCTCCTGACTTATTTTAGCACAACTACCCGCAGTTCCACCCATTTTGTTGAAAATGGCAAGATACAGCTTATCTAAAATAGCCTTAGGTTTTTTGAAAATATTGCTGTCTAATTCTAAGATTTCCCTTGATTCTAATACCATGATTTTCTCTAAGGCCTGGATTTAAAAAATCATATAGAATTACATAGGAAAAAAAGAATAAAAGCTTATTAGTATAAAAGAGATAAGACAATTTAAAATCCTTAATAAGCAAAGATTTTAACACTGACACATTCTATTATATTTAATATAATAGTCTATAATGTAAGTCATTTAACATTTACTATAAGGTAGCATCATTCTCAGCTAAATATTCCTAAACTCTACATGACATCGCCAATAAACAGTTACAATGAAAGGCAAAGGCTTTATAGTAAGAACCAATAGAACAATTTGAAGTGAATGACTTAATGGAGGTACTGGGACCAGGTGCTGGCTCCTTTATAACAAATGGATGGAAAAGAGATGAAATCTGAACACAGTAGTGGAAGAATTGGCTAGATGGCATGAATTACTCAAGAAAAGATTATATAAAGTTGTGAGGATTCTTCTGTGTGTAAGATGTGTGTAAGAATAAACTGCAAATGATAAACTTATCCAATATGAGACTTTAAAAAGCTTTAAGATTCTGCCATCTGATGTATAATAATTCAAGAAACTCTTCATAACTCATGACCTGCCTGTCTGTTTTTACCCAAATTCTGATCACTTAAAATTCTTACCTGAAATTCAGCTGTTTTAGGATTACTTATGTGGACGGCCTTTGTTGCAGAGATATCCAAACCAAGCTTATCAGCAATGTCTTCTTGGGAGCACTGAGCAGTACACAGATCAATATGGAAAAACAATGACTACATTTAATACAAAAAAGTATTTGAGGCTGTGAGTCAATTTATGGTCTCCGAGAATGTAGCTTCTCTATATAAATCAGTAAGTTAAGAATAAATAAGAATAGATACATAACAATTCTTTCCAGACCCACAGCAGATGCAATTTAACATACAGACTTCTCAGCATGAGTTCTAATCAGGACACACAGCAAAAGTACATTCTTCTCATAGAATTTACTCAGGCCCTTCCTAAGCTAGTCTCCCACTTCCCTTACTAATCTCTGATTCCCCACCCATTCCCAAACCGTACATTTTATCCTACCTTTACCTGGGATGCCTCCCCACCCCACTTGCTGCCATGCCCCTAAATTCTACTTAGATATCTCTTCTACCTTGTCCATAAAAATATCCCCAATGACTCCAGCCAGAAATTCTCTACAGCATCCTGTTTTGACTACCACTGTGATCGGACCCTGCTAAGTCCATACTGGCTTGTGGCAAGATGGTAGGACTGAGAGCAGAGTTCCAGGGACCTGACTGCTGCCCAAGGTTCTCACTACTGAATCATTTAATTTCTGTGCTTAGTAAAGGACTGCTAAGTGCTCACCCATCAAAAAGAGAAAGATCCCTGTCATCCTCAAAAGTCAGGATGGTAGGCATAGCTTAAGAAAATAAAACTATTAGATATATCAAGTGTAATGATAGAGAATAAGCCTGCAAATAAAGTCTCTGGCAAAAAACTAAGAGCCTAAAAATATTAACAATGATAACTAATAAATCATTACTAAGCATAAATAGGTGTCATATATATTAATGTTAATTTTTTTTAAAGTTTGAAATGTATGAAAACTGATGTACCAAAAGATTACTATTCTCAATGATAGGTGATAGACTCCACAAAATGGTCTTCCAGCAGGCCTTTATCTCACTTACAAAGAACAAATTGAGGTTCATATGATGCCAACGTCTATTCTTACAACTTCTCCATGCTATCCTGGGAAGGATCCTGAAGCCACATCTAGGCTCAGCAGATTCCCTGATCTGCCAGAGCTGAGATGGAGAACGGCAACAGGCACTGGGAAGAACTATTTTTCTCCCATAGCATGAAAGCAGAGTTTTTATAATAAGATTTATATATTAAAGATTTAGATATAATGTGCTCAATTAAGAAAAGCTATTTATGTGGTGTAATCTACTCTCACACAGAACTAGTGTTTCTTGAGAAGGCACCACGCCACAGGGCAAGGCAGTTAGTGCCTCTGGGCTTTATCATGATGATGGATAATCATAGTGTTTGTAGCTACTATACAGGAAGGGTTTTTAAATGTTAATATTCATGTGCTTATTTAATGTTAGAAAAAAATGTAACAAGTAAATGAGGCCAATATGTTTCACAAGTATGACCTGGCTGAAATAGAACTTAGTTTTTTAAATGTGAGCTAATTTAAAATATCACAACCAGTTTGCAGATAGAGCAAAACCACAATTATAAGGTGTGAATTACTCAAACACAGAAAGCCAAGCTTTGAAAAAGAGGGTTCTTATTCTCATGCAAAATGAAATGGATTTTGAGTTGCTTTAAGGTTCAGAACTTCACAAATATCTTTAATGGTGCGATTCCTAGAGGAAAACTCTTACTACAAATCTGACACTCCCAACACCTTAATCCTTCCTGCCCCCGGTTATAAGCAAGGTGCTGTCCTGACTTGGAGCAGCTGAGCAGCCATGTCTGACACTCCAAGTGGGAGAGTTCACATACAGGCCCGGGTGAAAAGGCCTGGGCTGGAATCCTTGGTGGTACAAACTAAATTAACTGCTGTGCCGACAGGCATGCCTACTTCACATGTGGCATTAGAGATGGAACTGCCCACTGAAAGCTCTGGGCACAGGATAAACCCTTCCCACGGAGCAGCCACTAGTCAGGAGAGAGAGCGTGCTCCTCTAGGATGCTGGCGCAACAGTTACAAAATCAACACTGCACTACTACATAAAGGGCAGGGAAAACACTTACCAAACTTCTAACAGCAGTTAATTCTGGAGAAGAAAATAGGGTTTGAAACCAAAAGACTAAAGGGGAACTGCCCTGGCTTACTCTACCTCATTCTGTAAAGTCAAATCCTTTAAATCAGTCCTGTGCCACTGAACTTACACAAATAAAAATACACTTCTCAATATTGTTTTCTGTATTTCCTATCACATGAAATGGTGCATGCTCACAACTACAAGCGTCTAGTGTACGTGCACACATCTGAATGACCGCCACGACAAACCTAGCACACAACCCGAGACAAGGAAAAGCACTGGTCTAGAAGTCAAAGGCTAGGATTCTGGGGCCTCCCTGGTGGCGCAGCGGTTGAGCGCTGGGTTGCGAAGGTGCCCGCAGCCTCTGCAGCGCCGGTTCGATCCCCGGCTGCTCCCCGGCCACCGGAGGAGGGTCCCACATGGCGCACGGACCTCTCCTGCCGCCCGCTGCTCCCCTCAGCAGTGTACTTCCGTCCTTCTGCCTGCTCTGCTCCCCGCTCTGGCTCTGGTGAATTCTCTCACCCTCCCGCGCTTCTGACTGTACCCAGTGCTTGTATAAATACAAACAATTAAAAAAAAAAAAAAAAAACTTCAGTCCTTTTTATTCTTTACCATTGAGTATCGAGTTGGAAGGAAAAAAAAAAAAAAAAAAAGGCTAGGATTCTGGTTCCAGTTCCCCTAGGGTCTGTGTAAACTTTGCTGGTTATTCATCCTTTCAGCCTCAAACTTCCTCACTGTTCCAGTTCCTGGCACACAACAGATGCTCTATGAACACTGCTAAATAAAGGACTGTGGAATCAAAAAAATGGACGAGTTGAACTAGAAAGCTATACGGTCCTGACATTAACATCATATGAATTACAACTGCTCCAGACACTTAAGAGAAAAGCTGCCTCTCCCTCCCAATCATCCACGTACATAAGACATTCCCAATATTGTCTACTGTAAATACCCTAAAAGACGGAATCTTAAAGCTGGAGTTCAGTTGGAAGAGAGACGAGAAGGGCAACTTTTTTACTCATCTTATTTTGGTTTTTACCCGACATCATTAAGTTGAAAGGTACTTGAACACTCAAAAACTACACTGGAGGCACCATAGAAACACTCGGCAAGAGAGAAAAGGGAACTACAAATTGCATACACATTTTATTCTTTCAATTGGTCAATCTGCTGGGGGAGGGGCATTTCCTTCTGATTTTGTAATAAAATTCATTTCCTGATTTAGGCCTTTTATGTCAGCTTTTCAACTCAAAGCAAATGTTTGTGAACATGTTCAAAGGCAAAGAAGTTAAGTTTAATGCAGAACAGTCCACAGGCCCTCAACCAGGGCGGCATCTAGTGGGCACAGTCACAACCAAATGAAGACTGAAAATGCCAACCTAGTAAATTTGGTTATGAAATTCAGAGTGAATCTCAACACGTGATACGAAACGATGATGTATGTTGTCATCTGTCAGTCTAGTTTTTTTCAGTCCTTCATGGTTTTCTGATTAAAAACATAAATCTTCAATATTTCTTTACCACCCTTTGTACAATCTCAAGTAACAAAGTTCTTCTTCAAAAAACCTGGGAAGTTTTTTGAGCTAATTTTGTAAATTCAGCAGATTTTGTAAATTGTACAATTGTACAGATATTTGTAAATTTTGTAAATTGAGCAGACTTTGTAAATTCAAATAAGGAATCAAAGATTAAACCATTTAGACTCAAAATAAACCATCAGCTGAACAGGAAAAAGGATGTAAAACATACCAGAGCAAAGGTGAGCGCTTCAGTGAACCCAGCGGCTGCCATGTCATGTCTTAGAAGTTCTGTGAGCTTATTAAGAGGAAACTGGAAAAAAAAAAAAAAATTTACATTATTTCACTTCAATAAAATTACTCATTTCAAAGGAAAAAAGATTTACACAAAACCTATCGTGAAAAGGAAAAGTCTTCCATGCCCGTGAATGCACTGCTTATAAGCCACCTCCCCCCCCAACGCACCCTGCCTCACTGCCCCAGGACTCCCACCCAAATAGAGAAACCTCCCCCCCACAGTTTCTGCCTCCAGGCCCAGGTGGGGAAAATAAATTCCAAGTTAGAGAAACAAGGGCTCCAAACTTGAAGCCCGTCTTTCTTGAAAGAAGGCGTCCTCACAGCTTTTCCACTTACGCTAATCCTCTGGGCATCTGTTTCATATCCTCTCCGTAGCAAGCGCTCTCTCATAGCAGAGCATGTCCAAATACTGCTTAATTCCTATGTTCTGTTTTTCTCGAAGCCTTCCTGGCATTCAATAATCAGTTTCTAACAATAAGGAGTGTTTATTTAGGGGTGCAATCTTACTTGATTAGCTATGGTGTATGTTTTCGGGAGAGTCATCTGAATGTTGTTATATCCATAAGCAATAGCTGCATCTTCCACGATATCACAGGAGTGGATAACGTCAGCTCTGGTCGGAGGGACTTCAATCTCAATCTGATTCCCATCGCCTATCACTTCTGACTTTAAATACATTCTGGTCAGAAGCTTGGCAATATTTTCTGGTGTTTCTCTGAAACGGGAATGTACAAATCATAAATGTCACTGGACTATTTAAAATGTTTATATTTTGCTTTTAAATACACTACTTCCTAAAATAATTCACCTTTGTGAATTTCATTAGACACCAGACATTGTAACCTGATGTTCCAACATCACACTTAACTTACTCTGAAGAGAGCAAATCCCTCTCCAAACATTCTTTCAGGTAAAATTAAATAGTTCTATGTGCATTTCATTCTTGAATTCTCTCCAACACAAATAAATGAAGGTTTCATAGCATACCTGATTCCAACTTTTTTGTTAATTAGATCAGCTCTCACCACCTCCTTTCGGTAAGTCAGTTCCTTAAAGAAGAGGAGTTTGAAAGTTTAAATCATTCCCTTTTAAGATACAGCACTAGGTTCTTTTCAACTGGTTGCTGCAGTTTCATTACCCTCCAAAGAAAATGTCATTAGGACCTGACTTTGAAAATAAACTTGGTATTTCAACACATTATTATGGAGTATATTTGCCATACTAGAGTCATATATGAACATTCTACTTGCTAGACAATTGGAATTACTCAGAAATAGTATAAATTGGTGAACATTTTTCTCTTTTAGATGGTCAAACACTGGCACATTACATCATTTCTAAATGCTAATAAATCCTACAAAGGATTTCCACATCATTTCATACAAGCTCTGACCAAGACAGCGTGACTCAAGTTCACAATGCTCTATCCATCACACTAAGTCTAAGAGTATTGTGACGACGACATTCCTTTCTCATTTTCTAGGTGGAAAAGGCCACCGTGCCCCCAGTCCTAACTATCAATCTGCTCTAGGAGACAAGAAGCCTTAGAGCATCTCGTGAATTAGTCCTCACGCTCCTTCAGACAGTACATAACTGTCATTTCAGCAGGAGCAAACACGCATAAAATCTAGGCTTTTCAGCACCTCTGGACATATATCTATGATTATATCTTATCACTAAATTACTCTCAAATACATAACTGCTACTGACAAACAGGTTATGAATCTAAAAACCTATTTGAACTCAAGTAAGGACAAGGGTCCAGAGCCTTGCTATTCAAAATGTGGTTCTCAGTAGAAGCATCATCCTCACATAAGGGGAGGTTAGAAAGGCACTGTCGGGCCTTTACAGCTAGTGGCAGTTACACCAGACTTACTGAATCTGAATCAAGTAATCAAGTATGAACCAGATTCCCTGGAGATGACTGAACACTAGAGTTCAAGAAGCACTGGACTAGAGGCTGATGGCTACAGTGGTAATAATCTTTACCAGTTAGTAAATCTTTACTAAACAATCTGAGATACTCTTTTAAGGTTAACACTCACAATAGATACTATTAGCATTATTTTACAGATAAGGAGTCTGAGTTTTAGACTAATAACACAGATCACGAAGAGTAAGCTGTTGAGCCCTCTATTGTTCTATTCCTCATGTTTAGAAAATGCTTGCCAAATAAGCACATACAGTTAATGAGTGCAATCACACATTCATGTAGCGATGAATGAACGAAAAATTTAGGCAGCCTAATTCCTAACACCACTATCCATTAATATCTCTGACTACCTACCACTCACTACCTCCTCTAGTTCTCTTATTTCAAACTCTATTCTTTTATATGATTTAACAGGAAAAAAAACTTTCAAAATGCTTGAAATAACATGCTGTTTCAAGTGAGGAAGAAACCACTTTTCCCCAGAGGGTCCTTTTTTGTTGTTGTTGTTTTCTAAAGATTTTATTAATTTATGCAGACAAGAACTGGGGTCTAGGCCAGAGGTGCGGGGTGTGAGATGATTCACCAGAGACAGAGTGGGGAGCAGAACAGGCAGACTGACTGAAATACACAGCTGAGGGGAGCAGCGGGCGAGATAGGAGAGGTCTGCTGTGCCATGTGCCTTAGCTCCCTGGCTGGGCTTCGAACTCATGCCACAGTGACTGGTGATAGCTTGATAGCGCTGAGACTTTAACCCCTGTGCCACCAGGGAGGTCCTGGTTTTCTGTTTTGTTTTGTTTTTTTTTTTTTAACCAAAATACTATGTTTTGGCAATAATTATGATATGCTAAATTAATCCTGTTAACACATTTGTAATTATTTGTTAATTACAATAATGACCTTCAGCAACTATTAATTCAAAACTGAACAAGCCAGCTAGGTTTGGAGGGATGATAAAATTTTAGTCTTTCCAAAGATGAGATAAATTACCCCGTTAACAAATTACCACGAGAAAAAGACATAGGACGCAGGGTCACATAATAATTTAGTGTGATGGAGCACATGGGCACTGAAGTTGGACTGTTTGGGCTTTAATCCGAGTTCCACTCCTTAATAGTAACAGGTACCTAGATATTGAAGATTATAGATATTTATATCTATTTCTCCGAAAGGGCATAATAACAGCACTGGGTCTCCTGGTGGTACAGGCCGTTGAGCGCAGCGCTGTGAAGCTGTTCGCAGCCTCTGCAGTGCTGGTTCCATCTCCGCGAGCTGAGGAGAAACCCACATGGCAAGCAGACCTCTCTTGTCTCGCCAGCTGCTCCCCTCAGCGGTGTATTTCGGTTAGTCTGCCTGTTCTGGTCCCTATACTTTGTCTCTGGTGAATCCTCTCACCCTCCCGCACATCTGGCTTGTACCCCGGTTCTTGTATAAATAAATAAATCTTAAAAAAAAAATAACAGGGCCTCCCCGGTGGCGCAGCGGTTGAGCGCTGGGTTGCAAAGCTGCCAGCAGCTTCTGCAGTGCCGGTTCGATCCCTGGCTGCTCCCCAGCCACCGGAGGAGGGTCCCGCATGGCACGCAGACCTCTCCTGCCACCCGCTGCTCCCCTCAGCAGTGTACTTCGGTCCTTCTGCCTGCTCTGCTCCCCGCTCTGGCTCTGGTGAGTTCTCTCACCCTCCCGCACTTCTGACTGTACCCAGTGCTTGTATAAATAAATAAATCTTAAAAAATAAATAAATAAATAAATAACAGCACTCACCCTCACAGGTTAATGTGAAGATTAAATTCACATAAGGCACACAGCATAGTGCCTGGTGTGGGCAGATGAACAGTTAAGATAGACCACAAGCACCCTACAAAGATCATCATCGAATCACTTCTTAAATACTTACTGGGAAGGTATGTGATTTTCCATTAGGGAAAACTACTTCAGCTGCTTCAACCCTGAAAAAAGTTAGAAAAAAAAAAAATAAAAAGAAATTGGGCTAGAAATTCTAGAAATGCATATGGCAAGCAAATCTTTCACTTGATCTACAACTGTCACCTCAACACATTCAATATATTCACATTCCGACACTGCTGTCTGGATTAATCCTCCTAAATACAAGTTACTATCTCATCTCCAATGGAATATGGCCCCTCCTCTCTTCAGACATCCACCACTTGATACATTTATTTCCCAGAACCGCAAGCATGAGTCCTCACTGAGTCCAGTATTGATATACACACTCCAGGTTTTACCAGTGTGGTGTTACACTGGAAATGACTATGTTAACTGATTAACACAATCACTAACATGCAAATTAATTTTTAAAAATGGGTATTACCTATACAATGCCATGCTTTCTACAGTTACGTATTTATTTTTGAATTATTAACACTCTAAACTATGATGATGGTACAAGATAAGGGTCATAGATTAACTAAACTTAATGCATGCTTTAGAAACACTATAATAATCTTATAGATATATATGGCATAAATGCCTTGCTCTCATATACACTTCTCTACCTTTGTTTAGCTGTTCCTTTTGTGTTCCTCCATGTTTACATTATTAAATTCAACGATCCTTAAACACAGCTTAAATTTCACTGCCTCCATGAGGTTTAACCAGATGCCTCAGCCAGCAGTAACTTGCCCTTATAAAAGCCAAAACATTACTGAGACTTTTTAAAATACTTAACACTTTTTTATTTTACATATTATTTATGCATATGTCTTAGTTCCTTGAAGAGATTATATGTTCTAATTACAGGAACCACATTTTGTTCTTTATATTTAGGCTTCAGTGCTTTGCCATCAATAATGTTGCCAAATGAACTTACGTAAATGGATTCTCACAATATTCACTGAACATGGTGACGATAATATCAAGAACTATTTTTGCCTGCAAAGGGAAAAAAATGACAATCTATAAATATACTCTCTCTTCATTCAGCTAGAAATGAATTAATATTTAATATAATTCAGTCCCCAAACATCTAAAAATGGGGCTTTATATTACATTCTAAAAAAAGAAGTGGAATAAAAACTTATGTTAGAGTAGGCCTGTCCTTATCTTCAGATGTTCTGCATTTACACGGTTCTCTAAGAGTTACAATCCATGACTGAGACAAATCATTTACTTCCCTTACTCTCTCCCGTGCATTCACCGGTTTCAAGAGACACAAATGGCTAACCATAGGGGTAAGCCTTATCAGTCTCCTAAAGTAGAATGCCGGATGCCTGACTCCTTTCTCAATTACTTATTAGCAATCTGATTTGAGGCCAGCTACTTACTATCTTTGTACCTTAGTTTCTTCATCTGTTAAATGGAGATAATAAAAAGTTCCTACCACATTTGATTATTATAGGGCTAAATGTATTGTGTGAGATACACACACACACATGATGCTTGACATACAGTGAGTCATAAATTTGTTAAATCTTTAATTAAAAAATATGCTTAGAAAAAAACACAGTAAACTGTACATACATACTTTACTCATATATAAGCTTCATAAAAGATAACTCAAAATCTGTTAATGTACACATTTAAAAAATCATTTTCAATAGTAAAAGCTGTATTACCCTGACAATATTTCTGAAAGTAAACATGATACCTAAAGTTACTGACAATAAAAGTTACTACACGAAGCAGCTCACAACGGTCTTCAAAGGTGGAAGAAGGGCTCCAGCCTTCCCCTGTCACGCTTACTTTCTGAATTGGCTGCACTGCCACCTCACTCTGACTTACTAAACATGTGTAAAGAAATCACATACTGTAGAAAAAAACTTTCAGGGGCCTCCCCGGTGGCACAGCGGTTGAGCGCTGGGTTGCGAAGCTGCCCGCAGCCTCTGCAGCATCGGTTCGATCCCCGGCTGCTCCCCAGCCACCAGAGGAGGGTCCCACATGGCGCGCAGACCTCTCCTGCCGCCCGCTGCTCCCCTCAGCAGTGTACTTCGGTCCTTCTGCCTGCTCTGCTCCCCACTCTGGTGAATTCTCTCACCCTCCCGCGCTTCTGACTGTACCCAGTGCTTGTATAAATAAAAATAAATCTTAAAAAAAAAAAAAAACTTTCACAGCAATCCAATCCAACACATAGTAACTAAAAGAGTGAACACCTACTACTTTACGTAATCCAGGTATCTTTGTGTGCTTAAACCCTTTATCAACGTGCTAAAACTTCTTTATCGCCAGTTTGAAAAGTTTTTTATGAAGTACACAAAATTACATAGTCAGCATTTAAATTAAGCCAACTAAGAAACAATTCACATGGATCACAATCAAATTCTTACCCCACTGTTTTATAGTGATGTCTATGGCTAAATGCCCCAGTATAAGTTCCTTGAAGTCAAGAAACAACAAGTGACTCATTATTAAATTCATGGCAATGGAGAGACAGTAGGTCCTTGTTAAACATTTGTTGAATGAAAGCACCATAGCCAAAATATATAGTTTCTAATTTTCTATTATTTCTAAAATATGTGCCACCTACAAAATAAGCATATTTTATTATTTAGCCATATAGTCTTAGTCCAGAAGTGAAATCTATCTTATCTGAGAGTACAAAAACAAGAGTTTTATTTACCTTGTTAAAGTCAGTTCCTGTGCATTCAATAAATATATTTCTAGTATTTACTGTTATTTTGGAGTGATTTCCTGTAATGAACACAAAACAAAAACAAAACAATCAGTGTCAAAAAACATGGTTGCAAAAAAACCAAAAACCAAAAACCAAAAAAACATGGTTGCACTAAAAGACTCTACAAGTAGAAGCTACATTTTAATTTGGAACACAATTGAGGGGACTCCCTGGTGGCCTAGGGGTTAAGTCTCAGCACTGTAACCACAACGGCCTGAGTTCGATCCTCAGCACACTAACCCACATATGGCACAGCAGACCTCTCCTGTCTCGCCCATTGCTTCCCCTCAGTAGTGTATTTCAGAAAATCCACCTGTTCTTCCCCCTAGTCTTTCTCTGGTGGGGATATCTCCCCACCCCCACCCATACTGCTGGCCTACACCCCAGTTCTTCTACACACACACAGAGCATTAGAACACAACCAACACCACAGAGGTGTCATCATAGCAAGGTGGAGACGAAAGAAAATAAAAGCAAGTGCTTACTGAAAGCACTCGATGTGTCAGGTCCCATGCCAAGCACACAACAGAGGCTGTCTGATCATACCTTCACAACCCAGGGACAGAGTTGCAGGTGGGCCCAACACTCAGATATTAAGTTGCCTGAGCTGCTAAGGATAAGATTTGGGTCTGGGTCTCACTAATTCTGACCCATGTTCTTAACCACTTAAACTACTACAGTCTAAGATCTCCAGGAGGAAAAGATTCTCTTACCAGTATGTTCAAGTTGCCTCTTCAAAAGAGTCCCCAGAAATGAGTTATGAGGGTAAAATTCAATTTAAAAATTTTAGTTTAACCATAAAACAGCAGGCAAGACAGAATTTGACTGAGTTTAGCCCAGTGAATGACCTGCTAAAATCAAAACATCAATCCCCTTGCAAGGACTACAACAATCTAGAGACTAAAATCAGAAAATATTATATATTTATAATTTATATATAAATCACCAGTAAAGGGCCTCCCTGGTGGTGCAGGGGTTAAAGTCTCAGCGCTATCAAGCTGTTCGTAGCCATTGCAGCATGAGTGCAATCCCCGGCGCAGCAGACCTCTCCTGTCTCGCCCGCTGCTCCCCTCAGCAGTGTATTTCAGTAGATCTGCCTGTTCTGCTCCCCACTCTGCCTTTGTGAATTCTCTCACCCCCCCGCGGCCCCCCATCACTGGCAAATCAGTCCATTGACAACAGCTGCTTTTTCTTGAAGATATCCAGAAAAATACTTCTATTATTGATATTTGTTACATACTAAGTGACCACTGAATTCAGTTTCACTGCGAGAAAGGTAGACTATGTCACCTATGGCCTGTACCCAAGTTCTTGTATGCATAAATAAAAAAAAAAAAAAAAACCAGTAAAATGCTGAATAAATGAATGAAAAGAACCATTACAATAAAATCTTTAAGTTCTAAGAATCTCCAATTAAGGGTTATTTGATTTGATTTAGTCAAATATATTGAGAGTTCTAATTATAATAAGAAACAGTAAGAAAAAAATCTGTGATGCTTAATAACTCACCATTAATAATAGGCGGCATTGAAAGGACGACACCATTGCTATCATAGATAACTGGGTACAGAGGTTTATTTTCAATGATATGTAAATAATGCTTAAGGTGGTTGTCAGTCTGAAAAAAAGTCAAACCAAATTAGTTTTTTCTATCACTGTAATTAAACTATTTATTAGTATAAAAAAGGGCAAAGTCAGGAAAACAATAAACAGCCCCAAATTATAGAACATTCCACATTTATAAGATTTTCTAATATAAATCAGTATCTCAATATCCTCATACAGCCTTATCTCCTACTGGGAAGAAACAAAAATACAACTGAGTTTTTCAAAAGTGAAGAGATTTGCAATGGCAAACCGAATCATCTCAAACAAAACATTAACCATCACAAAATTATTAATATAAATCAGAAGAAATCACTGGCAAATCAGGCCATGGACAACAGCTGCTTTTTCTTGAAGATATCCAGAAAAATACTTCTATTATTGATATTTGTTACATACTAAGTGACCACTGAATTCAGTTTCACTGCAAGAAAGGTAGACTATGTCATGTTTCCCACAAAAAGAAAAATAGCTAAGTTTTATTTCTTTTTTACTTGTGTGAGTTTTAATTATATTCACATAAGAATATTTTACATTATGTTCTACATCAATGATTCTCAATCTAAGCCATCTGTTAAAATTATTAAGAGAGATTACAGCAATTCAGGACACAGAAACACTCACTCAAAAAAAAAACCCTGCACTCCTGTTTATTGCAGCACTATTTACAATAGTCAAGATACGAAAATAACCTAAATGCCCAAAAACAGATGAATCATGGTTCAAGAAGATGTGGTATGGAAACACAATGGAATACTACTTAGCCATCAAAAAGATAAACTCATGCCATCTGTGGCAATACGGATGGAAATGAAAGGGATTAAGCTAAGGGAAATAAGACAGAAGGAAAAAGAAATAGTGAATGGTTTCATTATATGCAGAATACAGAGAAATCAAACAAAGAGTTAGGAAAAAAGACAAAACTTGCAAACTGACCTTACACCTGAGGCATGGGGGTGGGGAAGAGAGGGATCAAAACAGGAGAGGGATGAGCACAGGGGTCTATGGTGATAGATCATAGGGGTTATGGTAGTGGAAGAACTAGGAGGGTTATACATGAGGGGAGAAATCAAATACTGTCCAAAAATTAACAATGATGTGAGAAAAAATAGAGCAATTTTTTTTTATTAATTTATCAAGGAGGTTAAAAAGGTAAAGAAATATGCCCAAGCTCCACATTAGATCAATAAATCAGCATCTCCAGACTGGAGCCAGACTCTGCTTAGCAAGTTTATAAAAAGCACTCAATACATTTCTCTAATTTCAAGACTTGATTCTGAAGGAATTTAATGATTTATGTAGAGCTACTGCATAATATAAAGAGATATTGTACCTTGTATATGTTCATCAGTTCACAGGCCGTATACTCCTTGGTCTTATTTAGAGGCTTAAATTTGATATCTGAAGGTCGCTTTGCAGTATAGGTAAATGGGCCTGATAAAGAGTCCAAATCATGGGTACCAATAGCAACTAGTGCTCTTTTCCTAAATGTTGAGAGAGAAAGACATAGAAAAGGAGATTTGAATATTCCAAAGCAAAAACTATTAAGATAACAGACCACCTGTTTCCAAAAATTATTTTAGACACTTCCCTAAAATAGCCTATTGCTGTAGGGCAACTTTACAGAGTGTAATGAATTTTCACAACCATTAAAATTAATGGGATAGTATAAGGCTTACATAAATTCCTTGCTACTATGTTTTCTCCAGTACTCTAGGACATTTTCAAAGACAATGTTTACCTTCTTTTAACCTATTTCTTCCTAATGTACCCTAGTAAATACTTTATTACATTAGAATAAGCTACCAAATTACTGTATTTTTGGTTTCTTTATATTTTCTTAAATCTTCTGTTACACAGCTGTACTTTACCAGAGAAATCTTAATTTTAAGAACCATGAATTACATTTAAAATTTAATGTTTTTCTCTTGTAGAATTTATCTGTAAAGATTTAAGGTACTTTTAAGAACATACAGAAATTTATAAACTAGGAGAGAAAGAAACAGAAGTAGGAATGTAAAACAGAGTCAGAAATGTTAACACTATATTGAAATCTCAAGGCCTGCAATCTTAGCATAGAGGGTCACAAATTTGACTCCCACAGTTCCAAAAGACAATTTAAATGAGAAATATGGACAGAATTTATGGAGCTATGATTCCTTAAAATTGGTTTTAGAGGGCCTCCCCGGCGGCGCAGCGGTTGTGCGCTGGGTTGCCAAGGTGCCCGCAGCCTCTTCAGCGCCAGTTCAATCCCCAGCTGCTCCCCGGCCACGGGAGAAGGGTCCCACAAGGCGACCTCTCCTGCCACTCGCTGCTCCCCTCAGCAGTGTACTTCGGTCCTTCTGCCTGTTCTGCTCCCTGCTCTGGCTCTGGTGAATTCTCTCACCCTCCCGCGCTTCTGACTGTACCCAGTGTTTGTATAAATAAATAAATAGAATAAAATTAATTTTATATTAAAAAAATTTAAAAAAATTGGTTTTAGATGTAAATGCACATGTATTTGAGCATTTATGTCTAACCTCATATACATGAAGATGAAACACACTGGCAAGTCTGTAAGAGGTGATCTATGAAACTGTTTTTAAAATTTGTAGGAAAAAAATTTTGGGTCAACTTCCAAGACCAGAGACTAGAACTTTAATGACAGGGTTGAGTTGAAAAGAATTATTGACAAGCAAAAAGAAGGTGCTACTTTGCTCAATGAGTAATATACTATTGGAAAACAATAACCCCAAAGGTTGAAATATATACGGTTCAATAAGTTCAGATGAATTAACTGGCAAATCCATGGGTAAGAAAGTCTGTTTTCTCAGCTATTAATATTGGTTCCTGAATCCTGCAGCCATATTTCAAAATTACACTAAAATGTCGACTTCGAATCAATCACAGAAAAAGTAAATTCCAGGGCCTCCCTGGTGGTGCAAGAGATAAAGTCTCAGTGCTATCAAGCTATCACTGCAGCAGACCTTTCCTGTCTTGCCTGCTGCTCCCCTCAGCAGCAGGCGAGTGTATCTCAGTAGATCCACGTGTTCTGCTCCCCATTCTGTTTCTGGTGAATCCTTTCACCAACTACACCTCTGGCCTACACCACAGTTCTTATATTCACAAATATATAAACCTTTAAAAATATAAATTACAGATGAATCCAAGAGCTACACATTTTGAAAACTAAAAAAAATACATATACACACAAAAGAAGCCATAAAAATTATATTAAGAAAAGCTAGGCAAACAATGCTTAAAACTGTGGCATAAACACCCCTTCTTACACCAGACACAAAACATAAGTTTTATAGGAAGATGGTAAACTTGACAATATTCAAACCTTATATGTCTAAAAGACCCCAAAAGTCAAGTACATTTGTTGACAACATTTCAGATACATAAAGATATGAAAACTAAAAATAGCTAGGAATCAAGACTTTATACATCATCCTAAATGTTCAAAATCAATGCAAAATGTTCAAAATCTAATTGTGAAAAAGCAGCAAGTGAAAACTGAAAGAACTGAACAGAAAATGTAGCTGCTGCCAGCTTCTAAAGTCTTATCTAGCCAAGTATTTCAAGTCTGGGTGTAAGTCTTCAAGAATGTTTGCCTGCAGGAACAAAACCAGTCCTAGAGAAAGAGAACATAACTGAGAGCCTCTTCCATAATATTCAATCAAGCAGCAGCAGACATGAGAAGAAAACAGGGAAACATAATTCATACTCCACACAAAATCAGTCCACAAAAACTAATGTTAAGATGACACAGATTTTTTTTGTTCTTTTTTTTGCATAGAAGAACTGGGGTATAGGCCAGAGGTGCAAGGGGTGAAAGGATTCACCAGAGAAAGAGCAGGGAGCAGAACAGGTGGATTTACTGAAATAGGAGCAGTGGGTAAGACAGGAGAGGTTTGCTGTGCCATATGTGGGTTAGCTGCATGGCTAGGGAGGGAACTCTGGCAAGTTATTGATTGCACTGAGACTTAACCCTGCAGGCCCCAAAATGACACAGATTTTCAATTTATAAGCTGTGGCTGAAACCAAGGACTGTTACAGATGGTGTCCCTTAGATAGCCCCAGGGAAAATGCAAAAATGTACTGCATCTTGAGGTGGAGCCACTGATAAGAAATGTAAGGGACTGCAGAAGGGGCTGAGAATTATTCAGTGTTCCAGATTCAGCGTTTGAGGATTCAGTGTTCTGGATTCAGTGTTTGAGGATTCAGTGTTTTCAAGGTCAGGGATTTTAGCTCCCATAGCAGTGATTTTCCAGAAAGCTGTTGTAGGCCTCTCAAGGTGGAGGCCTCCAGCAGCCAACATCAGAGAACAAAAGTTCAGAGGTATTACCAGTAGCCAAGAGATTGAAACTATTCCCAGTTTTGCTGCTGTTACAGCCTGTAAAGGAAAGACCTGGAGCCAGGCGCCTCACTGAGATGGGTGAGTGTGGCCGTTTGTCAGGTCATTCAGCACAGATGCTGTTTTGAGTGCCACCTGTCTGGTGCTGCGCTGGGGCATCGCGGCAGCTCCAGGAGCATCTCCTGTTATGTCTTTTGTTGTCTCGTGAGTTGGAATCTGGCCTATAGTCTGGCTGCTGCGTGTTCCAGATCAGCATTGGCAGGAAGACGCCTTCTTGGGCACATGGCCTATTGTTTGGGAGAGGAGCTCTGCATCCTCAGTGGCAGGAAGATGCCATCTTAGCTGCTTTTTGTTTAGGACTTAAAAACACTGGACACTGCTTTGGGTGAGGTGAATGGCCATTTTTGGCTTCAGTAACTTTTTGTTTTTCCCTGGTTTGTTAAATAAATCCCACTGCATTGTTCTCTGAGCCTGAGCAGTCTTGCAATTGTGCACACAGGTGAAGAACTCAGACAGAGACCGGTAAACTCTTTGGGTAGTGTCCTTGCCCTGTTTTAGTACCCCTTGCTGCCCTGTATCAAATTCACCAAAGATTTTAAACCAGCAAAGCTGTTACTAGGAAAAAAGCCCAAGAATTATGGAGAAAATATACACATAATAAATAGATGAGAAAATAACAGCAGAAAAAGAGAAACTTTAAAAAGGAGACAAATGGATTCTAGAGATGAAATGTAAAAGAACTGAAATAAAAATTTCACAGGACATTGCCAGCCAAGATGGAATAACAGAGATGGAATTCACCCTCTTGCCTCAAACAACCACAAAAAGGGGCTAAATATACATAAAACAATAGTTGTCATAGCAAAAGTCAGAGGGGATCCATTGGACTATGGTGGATTACTGGTACTGTGGTGGTGGGTGTAACATACATTTGAACAGGTATGAACTTGTACTCAATAGTCTCCTATTCTCCATCCTACACTATTTATAAGCAGTAACAAATAAAGGTCTGGTAAATTTAAACTCTTGTTGCTTATATATAGGGAACACTTTGAAAAAATCTAGAAGAAGGGAGGGTAAAGGAAAGAAAAGGAGGAGAGAAGAAAGAAGGAGAGAGAAAGGGACAGGATGGAGAGAAGGGAGAAAAGGCAAGGAAGAAAGATGACATAACCACAAACCTGCAAATGTTCTGATGTAATTTCTCTTGCAGTTCAATGAAGCTGTCATATCGATCTTTAGTAAATTTTATATTTCGAAGAACTGCTGCGACAGCATAAGGGCGTATTTTAGCTGTCTGAAATTCATTACATCATTAGAGATGGAAAATATCAAGCCTTTTTTCAAAATAACATCTCATAATAGAAACTTATATTCTTGATATTGTCATAATTTTCATTCAAACAAGTTTATTTCATTCAATCAACATGTAATAAAATATAGTGGTGATGAGAGACAAAGTCACCGTCCTTAAGAAACTCAAATCTGATAAGGTTTCCAAAACTTTATTAAGTAATTGAAAAAGAAATTAAGCATTACATAGTTTGCTTAAAGTTGATATTTCTACCAAAGTCACCTATACCACAATTTAAATAATTGTATCTCTTCCAATATATTCACGGAAAAGAGATGCTTTGCTTGCTCTCATTTTTTTATAAAAATAAATGGATTTTTTTAAAAGAGCTACAGGCTACATATACTACAACTACTTTAGCAAATGAGCAAAGAAAATTATATTTAGCAGGAGAGGGAACTCTGCTTCCACTCTCCTCTCCACCTTATAGATCCATATACCTAATAGACTTTTTTAAAAAAGGAAAAGTAAGAATTTATCCTTATTACCTCTTCGGTGATGATCAATTTCTGGATTTCTCCATTGGGCATTACCCGTTTATACACTGGAGCCTTTATCCTAAAATAGTATTAAGACAATGTTGCTCATTATTAGCCAAAAACATTTGGTAAGCTAATTATATTCTATTATTTGCAGAAAAAGTACAAAATGCACCATCCTAGTCCTCTAGGCCAATGGGTTGAAGCTATAGCAAATCAAATTTTGGCTGAATATTAAAAAAAAAACTTACTTTCCAACATTTTCAGTTGTCCAGAAATGGTACAGGAAGCCCCATGGGAATGAGCAGCCCACCAGTGGGGTGTCAGCAGAGACTAAAAACCCCTTTAACTAAGCAACTATTTAAGAACATTTAAACATCAACTGAGGAAATAGATTAGATAATCTTTCAGTTTTATTCCAACTCCGAAATTCTGAGTTTTTAAGAAAAACAGGCTTATTTAAAATACAGATGGCCAGGCCCCCTCTGAACCTACACAATCAGATGTATAAGCAAAAGGCCAGGTAATGGTCCATTCTGCAGGCCCAGTCCAGGTAATCTTTATCACTCAGAGAGAACTGGAACCTCTGTTTTGAGCACTTCTCCAACCTCAATGTGCTTACAATCAGCCAGGCAATTTGGTAACCACAAATTGTGATTCAACAGGTCCTGAGTGGAATCTTAGATTCTACATGCCTAATAAGCGCCCAGGTGATACAGATGCTTCTGTGCCATAGACCACACTTACAGCAAAGGCTGTAAGGAACTCTCCTAATCCTGTCTTATCATAAAAATCACATGAGGTGCCTATTAAGAGGAAAATTCTAATCAGGCAGGTTTAGGAAACACACTCTAAGGGATCATTCCTAACTCAAAAATATAAGCATCCAGTTGTCATGCAGAGAATAAACTGTGAGCCCCCAAATCTTAACCATCTTCACCAAATGCCTGTTCATCGCACTTTAACCAACACCCATGACTGATCGTAATTTCAGAGCCCATCAGCCAAAGGCTCTTGCTCTTCTGCAAAGGACCAGACCATGTATCAAAACCAAAACATTTTTTTGATTGCTATTAATGTTCCTCTTCCTTTTCACTCTGTATTTTCATTGCTTTCTATAGTTATGAAGAGTCAGAAAAGGACTTAAAAATCTTCATTATAGATAAGGAGAGTAAAACTAACATCAGTTCACTTGCCCAAGAGCAGACAGCCATCAGAAGATCTTCAGTTTGCCAGTTAGGAAGCTCCACTCCCAAGCTGCCATAGAATTCTTATGGAGACAGCATATAAAATTTTGCCGCTTATACTTTTCCACCCAGCTTTTAACAAATCCAATATGTATCTCTTTCAATTGCGTTACTAAAGCAACTTACCTGAACCCACTAAAGAATTTAAGGAGCCATAAAAATTTATTATCATTCCAGTTTTAAAGTATGCTACCCAAATGAAAGGCTCAAATTCAATACTCAAGCAAATTTTCAAATGATGAAAATCTACGTGAATCTCACCCTCCAGTCACCCATCTATGCAGACCTAAAGATGTGTACCTGTCCAATAAGTTTTTTCTAGAAATTTAAACAGGGCTGCTGATAATGACAAAGGAAAGAAATCCAACTTAGCGAAGTATTTGATGAACATAATCCCTTACCTTTCTTTGAAGACTTGAAGTCCTCGAACCAATCCTTCCAGACACAGGAGATCATATCTATTGGCAGGGACATCAATTTTGTACAGAACAACATCAGAAGCCCCCTTTGCCTTTTCACCACCTTGTTCCTTACTTATGATTTCCTTCTCAGAAGTCTAAAACAAACCCAAATACATCAAATAAAAATAAGTAAATCTGAATTCTATTTAAAAAGCAGTTGTCAGCCCTATAAAGGAGGATCACACTATCCATGTTCTTTTCTGTAATAAAACACAGGTATATCTGCAATGAAAATATCAAATGTCATAATCACAGCTTACAGAAAATACTCCAACTTTTACTGAGTTCAGACATCCAGCATCCTTAGTCATTCCAGAACAGCACAAGCTACAGCCCACTGGCCAAATTATGCCTGCCACCTGTTTTTGTAAAGTTAGAGGCACACAGCCAGGGCCTATTCATCGACATATTATCGTCATTTACAGCTGCACTGTAACACAGACAACGGCCTACAAAGCCTAAGTTTGGCCCTTTAAAGAAAAAGTTAGCCCATCTTGATCTAAAAGAAAAGATTTCTAGTGGTGAAGAGTGTAACACATACAGGTGTTGTTTCGTGAGGGTGCACGTTAAAATTCAGTGTTACTTCAATAAAAAGAAGTTTTTAAATAACTTTGTCTTAAATGCTATGCTAAACAAGACTGATAGCTTTTTTTAAGATTTATTTATTTATGCATACAAGAGCTGGAATACAGGCCAGAGATGCAGGGGTGAGAGGATTCACCAGAGACAGAGTGGGGAACAAAACAGGCAGACCACCTGATATACACTGTTGAGGGGAGCAGCGGTCAAGACAGGAGAGGTCTGCTTCACCACATGGGTCTCTCTCTGGTCAGCCGGGGATCGAACTCGTGCTGCAGAGGCTGTGGATTGCTTCACAGTGCTTTACTCAACCTCTTGCACCACCAGGGAGGCCCAAGACTGTAATAGTTTTAATCCTGTTTAGTTCCTAACTAAAATAGTTATAATCCTGTTAAGACTGTCTTTTGAAGAAATAAAGATAAAATACTCAAAATATAATCTAATACTTGAATAAAAATGCTTACTAACTCGGGGCCTCCCCGGTGGCGCAGCGGTTGAGCGCTGGGTTGCGAAGCTGCGCGCGGCCTCTGCGGCGCCGGTTCGATCCCCGGCTGCTCCCCGGCCACCGGAGGAGGGTCCCACATGGCGCGCAGACCTCTCCTGCCGCCCGCTGCTCCCCTCAGCAGTGTACTTCGGTCCTTCTGCCTGCTCTGCTCCCCGCTCTGGTGAATTCTCTCGCCCTCCCGCGCTTCTGACTGTACCCAGTGCATGTATAAACAAAACAAACAAAGAAACCAGCAAACAAATAAATAAAGCATGCCTCTATAAAAAAAAAAAAAATGCTTACTAACTCTAAAATGATCACTTTAGCATTTTAACTAATTCTTGATCTTTTTCATGTATTGTTACCAGGAAAAAAATGGTCTTATACTTTCAATATGCCATTGATTATTTTCATAATTTGTTTTCATAGAAAGAGTATACTATTTTCATAAATAGAAAGTTAAAACAGGGCCTCTCTGGTGGCCTATGGGTTAAGTCTTGGCACCATCACCCATTGCTATGGCCTGAGTTCAATCTCCAGGCAGGGAGCTACCCACATTATGATGCAGCAGACCTCTCCTGTCTCACCTGCTGCTCCCCTTAGCAGTGTATTTCAGCAGATCTGCCTGTTCTGTTCCCCACTCTGTCTCTGGTGAATCCCCTGACCACTTGCACCTCTGGCCTATACCCCAGTTCTTATATGCATTAAAAAAAAAAAAGTTAAAACAGTCTTGTAAAGACCTATGTTAGGGGTCGGTGTGGAGAGAGAGAACACTAGAGTACAGTGGAGGACTATGGGTGCTCTGGGGGTGGGAGATCTATGGTGACCACAACCGAGGGGAGTAATCCTGTGCTGTCAAAATATCAACAAGGATGTAAAACAATGGTTCTTCATTAAGAAACAATAATAATAAAAAGGGGGAGGAGAAAGACCTATGTTTATACAATACAATCAGCAAGATTTCTAAGAGTTTTCTGGAGTAACTGGTTCTTTAACAAAAAGTTAACCTGATCATAAAAAAAAGAAAATGAAAACAATACCAAGAACACAGAGCAATAGCAACACAAAGTATCAACAAAGTGAAGTAAAGCCAGTCCACCAAATGGAAGAGACAACTTCTATTCTAAAATGAGTCTGAGAACTATATCCTGTGGGTATGCAAGCCTAGAAGTAACATGAGAGTAAGAGTGATAATAGAAAAACACACATTGGGAGGACCCACAGAAGCTGTGGGGTAAATTAGATGATAGACATAATGGGGAATAAGCCAGAGGTAGGCAAGATACCGAGTAGCTAGAATGAGGGCAACCAAGAAGGAAAAGAGGAAGAACCAACACTAGAAAAATAATTTTATGGCAAAATGGTTAGAGAATCTCAATCACCATCTCATAGCAAAGAATACCAACAGAGGGGCCTCCCCGGTGGCGCAGCGGTTGAGCGCTGGGTTACGAAGCTGCCCGCGGCCTCTGCGGCGCCGGTTCGATCCCCGGCTGCTCCCCGGCCACCAGAGGAGGGTCCCACATGGCGCGCAGACCTCTCCTGCCGCCCGCTGCTCCCCTCAGCAGTGTACTTCGGTCCTTCTGCCTGCTCTGCTCCCCGCTCTGGCTCTGGTGAATTCTCTCACCCTCCCGCGCTTCTGACTGTACCCAGTGCATGTGTAAACAGAACAAACAAACAAAACAAATAAATAAATAAACATGCCTCTATATTAAAAAAAAAAAAAAAGAATACCAACAGATTTTCTTAAAGAAAAGAAAAAATTAATTAATTGTAATTAATGCTACCCATTCATTACACACAACCCCACTTAACCAGAACGCCCCTCTTTCAGCACCAATAACCTACTAATTGATTCCTATCAAAATTTATAATATTTGTTTTACTTGATGCCCTGCTCTGCTAAAACATGGCAGTTTAAATTACTGCCATAAAGAATTAGAGACCACATGTGGGAAGCATGCAGGGAATTCACTTTGGGGCAGTAAGTACTACTGTCAGGTCACATTTGGGGAGCCTCAGAGATCTTTGCAAAAGCTGGGAGTAGACTAGGCTGTGCGCCTGGGGCCCCAAGAAACACCTACTCCAAGCATCTCAACTTAAGAGACATATTTTTAAATTAGGGGAGATTAAATAATAAAAAGGGGAAGATGAAGAGGGTAAGGAGAAAGAAAAGAGCAGAAAGGGTTAAGAAAGGAGAGGGATATAAGGGAGAAGATGAAGAATTAGAATTTAAATAATTTTCAATGAAAGCAGTGGATAAAAATGCTGTTTTTTTAGTGAAGAAAGCTGAGTCACCTCATAGGTGGTGCTGAATTTCAGAAAGCGCTTATATAACCAGAGAAATGAAGGCATCTTAAAAAAAAAAAAAAAAAAGGCCTGATTCCTTTCCAAAAGACAGGGCAACTTAAATCTTCTCAATACATGCAAGGACTGTAGTTGAAGATTAGGTTTCTCAGAGCTGACAAAAATCCTATAGAAATCCACAGAAATATCTGAGCCACAAGGGATTTATAGGACTTTACATAATCCAAACCCCTTATTTCACAGATGAAAAGGAGGCCCAGAGAAACTAATGTAAGAGGCCCAGAAATGCAAAGAAGTTGTCCATGGTTACACAGCTAGTAAATGTAGCTCAAACTAACTCAAATTTTTTTGATATAAAGTCCAATTGTTCTTTAATATCACACAGTTGCAAACATCTTGAAGTCTAATAAAGTTATTCATAGCAAACAACACAAACTACAGAAACCTCAGGGAACTTCTCAAGCATACAGATGCTCACTAATATTAAAAAAAAGCTCTTCCTGGAACATTAGTAAAGAAGCCAACAGGGAAAAAAGCAGAAGCAGGAAAAACAAGGCACGGTAACGTACATTTTTGTCTGTTCGAAGATTTCTTAACCTTACAACAGTATAAAGAAAAGAATGACTAGATCAAGAAAATAAAAGGTTTAGGAAAAAATAACACTAATTACCAGAGAAATATTGCCATTTTAGTTAGAAGTACAATGTCTTTAAAACATAATCATTTGTAGGGCCTCCCCGGTGGCGCAGCGGTTGAGCGCTGGGTTGCGAGGCTGCCCGCGGCCTCTGCGGCACCGGTTCGATCCCCGGCTGCTCCCCGGCCACCAGAGGAGGGTCCCACATGGCGCGCAGACCTCTCCTGCCGCCCGCTGCTCCCCTCAGCAGTGTACTTCGGTCCTTCTGCCTGCTCTGCTCCCCGCTCTGGCTCTGGTGAGTTCCCTCACCCTCCCGCACTTCTGACTGTGCCCAGTGCATGTATAAACAAAACAAACAAACAAATATAATAAATAAATAAATAAATGCCTCTATAAAAAAAAAAAAAAACTATAAAAAAAAAAAAAACATAATCATTTGTAGTATATATCTCAAAAGGTGATTTCTTAAAATATTTTAATGGTTTTACAATCAAGAGCAGGGAAATGCTTTATAATCATTTTTATAATCATTTTACAAGCTTATCATATACAGTAATGAGTGAAGAATGAATTAACACTGACTAAATAGGCCAAAAGGCAGGATCCTGAAGGAGGGGGAGCTGGAGGCCAAGAAGACCTGGCGACTCCGGCTTAAAACAATCTTTCTACTGTTCCCCATGCCCTTTTCCATATGGCTAATCAGCAAAAAGGCACTTCATCATCAGGGAACTCCTCAGATAATGTGAGGTGACTGCATCCATGATAAAGCAAAAACCCCTTTTTAAGATTTTTAAGCAAAACACCAGAACCTCTTTTAACAGAGAACACAGAACCCACCATAGCCCTCAAAAGCTCTACAGTGAACCTCTGAAAAATGAGTTTATAGAGAGAATATGTGAAAAATAAATATCCAATACATACAATTTCATCAAGTTCCAGACCAAATTCAAAACATAGCTCATCAAATTCTTCGTCGGCTAGAAAAAAGAGAGGAGATTGTTCATTTTGATATGTTCAGCATAAATGAAAACAATATACAAATTTCATTTTCTCATGAACTGCCTTTTACCAAGCATACTAAGCATCAGGCACCAGATAGAATCATTTAAAAACAAACGAAAAACACCATGACCAAAAAACATTAAGGAAAAAAACAAAACTATTGAAAGGCTGATTCATTTACACTAGTATCAACTACAGAGTTAGGTTACCTGCACTAGGAAGTTTGCATTTACTCAGAAGAAAAACTACCTATTAAGTAAGGATCGAATGACCAAATCCCAGGTCCAACACGATGGAATAAGGTTATGTAAGTCCTTTGCTTTAAATGTCTCTGAGGTGGCCTACCAGTTGGCCCTGGAGCCAGGCCAATCAGTTTGAATAATGGCCACCCCACTGACTAGTTCTGAGAACTTGGACCCAATGGAAACTTTCTGATCCATATGCCCCCTTCATAATGTGGCATTTAATAGTCATTTCTTTAAAGCATAGACTGTCACATAGACTGAAATGCATTCCTACAGATAATGGATTTGGCACAGTGCCTCAAAACACAACAGGTATGCAATAATTAATAGTTCTGCTCCTTATTTTTATAGTATAGTCTATGTTGCTTTGCTACCTGGGGCAATATCCTCAGGGTTTTCTAATTACCAGAAATTGAACACAAACCATTATTACTGGTATATTCTGTCTAAAAGCTGGTCTTAAGATTCCAGATACTGAGGAGGGAGAAAGGTAAGGGCACAATGGACTATGGTGGAAAATTATGGGTGCCTTGTTGGTGGGTGTAGTGTGGTAACATACATCTGAAGAGGTGTGCCCCTACTGCCCTAAATTCATATACAATGTTATAAACCAGTGTTACCTCATTTATAAAAAAAAGATTACTGATATACTCAACTTCAGTTCAGTATTTATTGAGCACCTACTATATGCCACAGTTAACTAGATAAATAAAATATTACTTCCTACTCAGATGCATAAATACAGTTACACTAAGTGCCAGGCACAGAAACAGCACAGAGGAAATAATCCCCTCCATTCAGGGTCAGCTAAGATTTCACAGGAAGGATGAGTTCATTAGGCAGAGGCTGTGCAGGGTGTGATGACCACAGCGAATTTGTCAAGTTCGATATGGATGAAGCATAACATTCATGGCAGGAAGAGATACAATGGAACAAGTAGAAAGACATGCCCTCTATCCTGTCTGTAAACCCCGGGTAGTTATAGTGAACGACTTGCGGCTAAGCAAAAGCATGACTAGATCTGCATTTTAAAGAATGGTGGCAGTGAAGGAAGAACTGGAGCAGGGAGGCCACTGCCACTGGACAGGTGAGACAATGAGGATTTGCTCAAAGCAGCAACAGTATCATGAGGAAGCAGGCAGAATGTGAGAATGTGCTAGAGGCAGCCTTTATAAGGCTCCATGACTGGAAAGGAGGAAGGGATACTGAGTGAGCAGAATGAGTCTGGGATGATTCTTGGTCTCTGGTGTGGGGAACAAACAAATAAATGGGCAGGGGCTATCCTTAACTAGGGCTGGGAGTTACACCCAGCGTGTCCCACCTCCTGAAATTCACACCTTAGTGTGAACTGAGGTCTGAAGCAACAGCATGAGTGAACTTGGATGCATGTTCTCTATGCTCAGTTAAGCCTTCAGAGGCCTGCGGGCCCAAATGACGACTTGAGGGCACACTGTGAGAGACTCAGAGCCAGAACCACCTTGCCAAGCCACCCGATTCCTCTCTCTCAAAGTGTGTGAACTAATAAAGGCTTCCTATTTACATTCCCAAATATTGGGTCATGTGCTATGTATCAAGGGATAACTGATACAGACTTCAATCCCCCAAGTGAAGCACTGCTGTAACAAAAACCTGACCTCTCAGAAGGTGGGCTTTGAGGACAGGGTAAAAGATAACCCAAAGTGCCTTGAAAAAGCTGTTAATGAAAGGCTTGGTCTCTGATAAGGATGCAGGACATGAGGGAAGTGAGATGGAACTGGACAGGTAGTAAGGTTAGCCCGCTGCTGCTGCCACTTACACATGCTAGAGGACATGTAGCTGCTCAGTGAATACTTCTAACCAGTGCTGAAAGTATCGCCTGGCTTTTCCCCTTGCTGTTTCTGATGTGAGAGAAGAAAGAATCTAAAGGAAAGACTATTATGCAAAAGGAAGGCAGGACTAGATGGTTTCAAAAATTCTCAGTCTCTCCAGATATAAAAGAATTGTATTAAAAGAAATGACTTCTGAACAAATAGCAAATCCAGAGCTCAGCCAAGAAAACATGGTCCAAAGATGAAATCAAGGGTAAAAAGATTCAAAGATCAAAGGTGTGATTCATTCAGACAAAAAGCACCGTAAAGACATTAGGGGTGTGCCTTATAAGCTCATTTAATCACACAATTAAGCTTAAATACTGATAAGAGTATCAGCAGGAACCCAAGGTAAAGAACAGCTTATTTCAGAGATCTGTGGGTGGTGTGGTTTTTGTCTAATGAAATGGAAACCAACAAAATTCACCAAATACCCACAAAGTTTTTAAAAGAAATAGATATGCAGGAAGATTGTGAATTTAAGTTGAAAAGGTCAGAAACAAGACAAAATGAAGTCTCTGAACACCCCAAAATTCTATTAGTAGAAAGTAGACTGTGAAAATAAATCAGTTATAAAAGGGCCTACATTCTTTCACCTTCCTCTGCCAAAAAAAAAAAAAAAAAAAAAAATCACGCAGAGGGTGTCCCAAGACAGGCATGGAGAATGACCCTAGGCCTTGTGATAGCCAGCAATGCAGCCCAATATCAGAAATGTTATTGGCTGACAGTTCCTTTGTGTGTCCCATTTCTCTCTGTCAAAGAACAATGTCCAGTAGTTATCTTCTGCCTACAGAAGATATGTATGTCAGTGCATGTAGCGCATATAACCTGTCTGTTGATTCTCTAAGGCCAAGTGTAGCTGTTTTCTAGCAGCTGGACTTCAGGAATTACACCGCAGGGCTTCATCCACACCTGGACCTGACTTAGATGATGAGATTCAGGAGTCTGAGTTGCTGCTATAATAGGATGACATTTCTGGGGGCCCTGAAAGGGAGTTTATTTTGCAGTTGGGAGATACATGAATCACCAGAGTCCACTCCATTAGACTGCCACAGTAGGTCTCCAATCCTGGCTCCAAGAACACTCAATAGTCACAGCCTGTGTAGCCCCTTCCCACATCATGCCAGGTCTGGTCTGTGACCTAGAAAATATGGCAGGGAAGGGCATACTACTTCTGAGAACTTAATAAAAACTGTGGCTTCCATCTTGAGCACTTCCTGTTCTCATGGACTCCTCAATTTGAGATAAAAAAGCCACCATGTTGCCAGTAATTTTATGGAAAGGTCAAGGAGAGGAACTAAAGATGGTGCTCTAAAATCAGCAAGGCACACCCACCTGCCAACACCCACCTGAGTGAACTTGTAATTAGATTCTCCAGCCCCAGGTAGGCCTTGGGGTGACTACAGACCTGGCACCATTACAACAACCTGGAGAGGCATCCGAAGTCGGAACCAGCTAAGCCACTCCCCAATCCTTTACCCTCAAAAATCGTAAGTTAACAAATGATTGTAGTTTTAAGTTACTAAATTTTTGAGTAACTTATTACTCAGTGATAGATAACTGAGTGATTATTGACCAAACTGCATAGAACTAATAAAATATAGAGTGCCTCACGGAATCCCAATTACCATGTAATTTGTTTTATCCCTTTCAGCTGTAAATACAGTGCTTCGATGCAAAACAATAAAATTGTGATGATATAAAAGAATAAGTCCCTCTAACAAAATGACACACCTGAGTAACTTCATCTAGTGGCATACACAGGGGCTCTGGCAGTCTTGCTGGCAATCACACCAAGGAAAAACAAGACCAGAATTGGAGAATAGTCATAATAGACCAGTAAAATGAGTGGCAATATTTCATCTTTGGACCAATACTGCCTATTTTCTGAGCAGAAAGGCGAATAGGTAGAATAAGGACATAAAACTACCCAAATGCACAAAGTGACCGGAATAACAAGCCACTTGAAAAACATCCTTCATAAGCAAAGAGATGGTGAAGGATAAGCCGGTGACTGGTAGGAAAAAAAAGGGGGGGGGGGATTTAAGACAGCAAAAAGCAACTCTTGGAGGCAAGGAAAAAAAGAGGAATGGTGGATAGAAAATGTGAATGGGACATTATCAGCAAACAAGAAAAAAAGAGATTTAAAAAAAAAGGGGGGGGTAAGAAACAAGATGGAGCCACACTACTGGAAACCAGATGCTTTGCAAAACATGCTATTACAACTATGATCTCAACCTGAACATGTCAAAAGTTTTCAAGAAAGAACATATGAAAAACTAATGATAACTATTATTACTTTTAACTTGTCTTAAGTACACCTCAATAATACCAGTCCTCCTGACTGAAACGTTAAAGAGTCAGCAGCTGACAGATATTTGTGGAAAATCAAGTTTACCTGATCTCTTTCTATGGGGGGAAGGATGGAGACAGAAACTACATTAAAACATCAGATGATGGTTATGAGGCTATAAATGTCATCAGTTTTTAAAAGCTGAATTATTAACTTTCCACAATAGGTGGGAAGTGATTATTGGGTCTTGTACAAACATTTGCCTTCCCATCTTGTGCAATCCAACTATATAATACCCCATTGGTGAAAATATGGTTTAGCCTGATAGGTAAAAAATATAAACAAGCATATTACAAAATAAAAAGTGAAAGGAATTACAGCTGAGTTCATTAGGCAAGGGTATTTGTTTTTTAGATTTGCAACAGAACCTTAAGACATCAAAAATGTATGAAATCTAAGAGCAGAGCCATTAGAAACACCTTAAAAGCTAACTTTATTTTTATAGTAATATCTTTCTCTAAGAAGCTGTACCCGCTAAATCAACGAGAGCTTTGTTATGTTGAACCCGAAGGCGAAAAACAGCTCTTATAAATTAGTTGCTACAGGCTTTACACCAGCTGGTAACTATGGGGCGGGGCGGATGCCATTTCAGCTGCTGCATCTCTGCACCTACCATTTCCCACCTTTTTCTTAATGGCAGTGTTTTTAGAAATAAATATCAAATCATTACGTTGCACACCTGAAACTAATAAGTTACATGTCAATTACATCTCAGAAAGAAACCTGAAGTGCAGCACTAAGACCAAGGGCAGGGCGCAGACTCCTGGTCATTCCAGTCTCAGCTCAAATATTAACACCCTATCTAATGTGGTTCTCCCATCTTTTTATTTCCTTAATCGCACTTAGTGCCACCTGAAATCATTTTACTTGTGTGCTGGCCAATTACTGTTCACCTCCCTCATCAGAACCTGCACGTGGACGTTACATCTCGGGTGCACTGCTGGATTCTCAAAGCGCTTAAACCAGAGCCTGGCATGAAAGAGCTCTCAGTAAACAAAGACGGGGGGAACACTAGCCCCCCACTTCCCCTACTCAAACCCTTCCCACCCTAGTGTACCCCACCGTCTACACTCGGGATGCAGCCATTCCTGCGCTGTGCCCCGGCGATGTCAGTGCCAAACACGCAGGCGGCGCTCGCTGCGGGGCCGCTGCATGACTGACTCGGCGAGGCCGGCCCCGCGGGTGATGCAAGGGCCGCCTCGGGGCGACCGGCTGCGAGAGGCGCCATCAGCCCGGCCGCCCGCCCGCCCTCCCTGCCTGCCCAGACCCCGGCGGCGCGAGGCCCGACGCTGCTGGGCAGCAGGAGGCGGCGCTCTGGCCCAGCGAGGGAGTCCCGCCTCCGGGGAGCAAAGCAGCGCCCCGACTCCGGGGCCAGCACTCACTGTAGGTCCGACCCAAGGCTTTGAAGAGCAGATCGCGCTTCACGCTGACAGTCGGCATGGCGAGTCGGACGCACTGCGCCTGCGCGGCGCACAGGGCCCGGGCTCTGCGACTACGCTGCTAGGACCCGCCGCTCCTGAGGGCTGCCTTGGATATCGCCGGTCTGTTTCCAACAGAAACGCCTCTCGTCGTTCATCTGCAGTCAGGAACATTACCGTTATTAATCTCAGCAAATGGGTGCGTTGAATAATTTACATGCTGGGGAATGAGACAAAATTGGCTAGAAAGGACTAGCGTTTGACAGGCACTACGGTGAACAGTCGGCAAATGCCCTGACGCCTGTCGCGCGAATTCGCCCGAGGTGGGCGGGGCTACGGGGGCGGGGCTATAGAGGGGGCCACTGAGTGGGGGCGGTAGGTAGGGGGCGGGACTTCAGGTGGCGAATCCCCGCCCGGAGGGGGCCGGAACGCGGGTGGGCGGGGCCTGAGGCTGCGGGGGTGGGCGGGGGCGGATCCGAGCGTGGTGAGCGCCGGACGCTGATACCAGGATTCGTTTTTATTTCATTCTTTTCTCCGTGCGGCGTCGCTGTGCCGTTCTAAGTGTTGTTTGAGTCTTACAGCCGCCCTAAAAGGGAGACTTCCTTAGAAACCCCTTTTGAGGGCCTCCCCCATGGCGCAGCCGGTTGAGGGCAGCGCTGTGAAGCTGTCCGCAGCCTCTGCAGCGCGGGTTCGATTCCCGCCCGGCCAGGGAGCTACCCACATGGCGCGGCAGACCTCTCCTGCTCACCTGCTGGTCCCCTCAGCAGTGTGTTTCAGTCAGTCTGCCTGTTCTGCTCCCCGCTCTGTCTCTGGTGAATCGTCTCACTTTCTGCGCCTCTGGCCTGAACCCCAGTTCTTGTATAAAAATAAATAAATCTTAAAAAAAAAAAAAAACTTGAGAAGAGGAAACAGTGTCCTCAGTACTCTCTACCTGCGGATGCTGTGTTCAATCTTCTGCCAGCAGATTTTCTTCCATCTAACAATTTTGCATAGAATAGGCTAAATAATACCTCCCATCCCAACAGATTTTGAGTCAGAGTCCACTGAAATACACGGCTGAGGGGAGCAGCTGGCGAGATAGGAGGTCTACTGCGTCATATGGGAATCTCCCTGGCTGGCTGCAGAGGCTGTGGACAACTTCACAGCGCTGTGCTCAACGCACTGCGCCACTGGGGAGACCCCTCAACTGTGTTTTCTAACGAAAATAAAACAGCTTGTTACAGGGCAGGGAGAGGGGCAACCCAGACCCCACAAACCTCCCTGCTCTATATAGGTTCTGCCATCCACCCCATCAACACAAACATATGAGACTTTAATGGGAAGGAACTTTAATACAACTAGGAAATAACCCAGGAAAGGCAAAGAATCTAGTTTCTAAATCAAGCACCCAAAGTGACCCGTCCCCTCATGGGTAAAAGTCCATCCAAGCAGGATTGGCCCAGAGCAAGGCCCCAAAGCCTGCCACAAGTCTAAAGCACCTTCCAGTGGGGACCCACAGAAAAGGATCAGAAACAACCAGACAATTTTGGAAGGAAAAGAGCAAAATCAAAATCAAGACAAAAACCGCCATTGTCACCTCCCCACGGGTCTCTCACCCACATTGGTTTCACCCAGTCCATACGTGTCTCTCGGCTCCATGTGCCTCCTCCAGATCTCCTTCTGGATCTCCATCCTGCTTCCTTCCTTCCTCAGTCTCCTCTGCAGCTCTTCTCTCCCTGCTCAGCTCCACCCTCCATTTGGGTAGGGCAGGGAACCTAGACCCTTTCCTGGGGACCACCCTGTTACAAGCTGACTTGAAACGCCCTAAAGTATTAAGGATGGAAGCTCTAAGGTGCACATCTGGAACCACTGGCAACTGCGTTTCCCACCACCTGGAAAACACAATATGCAATGGGATGAAATGATACTGACATTATGATAAAAGATAATGCCAGGAGACCTTGAAACATTTAAATTCTGGTGGTTGTTAAAGAACAGGGAGAGGGGCACCCCAGAACCCCCAAAAATACCTGCTCTAAATAGATTCTGTCATCAGAGGCATCAAGACAAAATATCTAGACCTTTAGTGGAAAGGAACTTTAATACAATTGAAAGGGAACTGCTAAGAAAAGGAAATCTTTCCCTGTTAAAGAGTCATAGACCTGGAAATGTAAAGTAAATAACAATTTTGCTTCCTTAATAAGCATATCTAAACAAGGCCGGGCAGCCTGCTAGGCTGATTGATCTCCCAGGCCATCCTCAAAGATCTGTATCTTCCCCTTTTCCTGTGTCAAGAATTTGTATGCTAACTAACCAACTTTATCAATGTAAAGTGTTTATGTATAAAAACTCTTTGTCTCTAGACCAGTGCTGACCTGGGGCTACCAGGTCTGAGATATGCATGAGTAATAAAGCTTCTCCTGACCCCACCATTCCTGAAGTACCGCTTATTCTTCCCCTGCCAGGGTAAAAAGGCTAGAATTCATTTCTGCAACACGATTAGTGTGCAATACAGAAAAGACAAAGAATATAGTTTCCAAATCAAACACCCAATGTTACCCATCCCCTCGTGGGTAAAAGTTCAGCAAAACACAATTGGCTCATAGGAAGGCCCAAAAGCCTTCCTCCTCAAGCCTAAAGCACCTTCTGGTGGGGACCCATAGAAAAAGTCACAAGTAGTCAACAAGTCTGGGAGGAAAAGAGCAAAGTCAAAACGAAGATAAAAGCTGCCATTGTTGGGCCTCCCCAGTGGCGCAGCGGTTGAGCGCTGGGTTGCGAAGCTGCCCGCGGCCTCTGCGGCAACGGTTCGATCTCCGGCTGCTCCCCGGCCACAGGAGGAGGGTCCCACATGACGCGCAGACCTCTCCTGCCTCCACAGGAGGAGGGTCCCTCATGGCACGCAGACCTCTCCTGCCTCCCGCTGCTCCCCTCAGCAGTGTACTTCGGTCCTTCTGCCTGCTCTGCTCCCTGCTCTGGCTCTGGTGAATTCTCTCACCCTCCCGTGCTTCTGACTGTCCCCAGTGCTTGTATAAACAAAAACAAAAAATAAATAAGTAAATAAAACATGCCTCTATAAAAAAAGCTGCCATTGTTAACCTCCCCAAGGGTCTCTCACCCAGTTTCAACCAGTCTAAGGCCAAGAAGCAAGCACAGTTTTTTCACACATCTCAGCTCCACATGCCTCCGCCAGGTCTCCTTCTTGCTCTCCATCCTGCTTCCTTGGCACTCAAGTCTCCTCTCCATCTTCTCTTCTCAGCTCAGCAGAGAGTACATTGCTGGGGTGGAGCAGGGAACCTGGAAGCTCCCCTTTTTCTGGGGACCACCCTGTTTACTGGGTGTCTCCTCCTCTGCCTGAAATGTGTTTGTTCAACAACTGGATGAAGGTCAGAAGGACTAAAGCTCAGAGTGAGAGTTGGTGGGTTCCATGGAGACATGAGAGGTTAGGAGATGCCCCAGCAGAACTCACCTTCTCCGTCCAGTGCATGCTCTTGTTAGGAGAAAGCAGGGTCCAGACTTAATCTGAAGAACAATGAAAGGAAAGTCAGAGATTTTTCCTGGCAGAAATAACATGATTCACTTGGTATTTTGGAAAGACCACTTGTGGGAAAGGGATTAGTGGTGGAAGTACGGAGCAAAGTTCAAGACCCCCCGACCATTAGGAAGATGCAGTAACCCAGCGGGGAGATGATGCAGCCAGGATTATCATGTGCTGTGGAAAGAAGGTAACCATAACAGACCACAGGAACCTATAGGTTATACTCCAAGTAGACAGCTTAGAGACGGAAGCAACCAGAAAGATGGAAAAATACATGAGTACGAGCTCATCCATCAGACTGCACCTTCTTAGAAACTGGAAATGGAGGCCGCGGAGGCTGGAGCTCACCTGCAAGGACACTGCTGAGTGGTTGACTGCCTCCGTCAGAGCCGGCCCTGGCTCCCTGAGTTGCCGGACCCCTTCCCAGTCCCTCTCTTCTTATTTCTCTCTTGTTTGAGTTTCTGGGTCCCAGGTACGTTCCCAGGTCAAGTGCAAACAAAAGTACAGGTGAGGGTGATACTGTAATTTCAGGTTTGCAGGCCTAGTCTCCCAGCCAGGAATGCATCCTAGGCTGCAGAGGCAGCGCTGAGCCCCAGCCTCCAGACCACCATGGTTGGCGTCTCACGAAGCCGCAGCAGGAGCTTTGCTGATGCTCAGCCAAGCAAGCAAGAAGAGGCAGATTCATTTAGAGAAAGAAAAAGCCTTATTAAGGAGAAAAAGAACAGAAATAAAGTGGGACTCCCAGGCAGGTGGAACCAGGCCAGGAAGGGGTAAGGGAGCCAAGTGGAGTCATGCCTCGGGGCATATAGACCTTCTTTCCCTAATTAAGCTAAAGCTGCATCAGTCTCTTTGTGATTGGTTAGTTCTCGGTGATCTCACTCACTACCTAAATGTCTCTGTGTGCAGAACTAAGTCTGTCTCAGCCCTTATCTTAGCATACTTTTCTTTATCATCCTTGTTTTAGAATGTCCTGTTGCCCCTAGTGGGGGGGGGTGTTTGATTATTCCCCTTTGGAATTTGTTGTCCTTATCTCTGGAGCCTTCCTTAACTCTCCTGAAGTCCCTGCCTGCACTGTCCCTGAAACTGCCTGATTACCCCTAACTCGCCCTAGGACTCAAAAGCATGGAGAAAGAAAGGATATTATGTCAATTCTAGTGATTACCATAATTTCTGAGTTATAGATCATAATACTATAATAATTTAAAAGAAGGAAGGCCTCCCTGGTGGTGTAGGGGTTAAGTCTCAGCGCTATCAAGCTATCGCCAGCCACTGCGGCCTGAATTCGATGCCTGGCCAGGGAACTACCCACAGAGCACAGCAGACCTCTCCTGTCTTCCCGCTGCTCCCCTCAGCAGTGTTCAGTGGATCTGCCTGTTCTGCTCCCCACTCTGTCTCTGGTGAATCCTCTCACCCCCTGCACCTCTGGTCTACACCCCAGTTCTTGTATGCATAAATAAATAAAGTAAATCTTTTTTTCCCCCTGCTTCAGGTTTATTTGTACAAAATAGCACAGGAGGACACTAGTGCCCAGCAAACAGCAGCCTATGGGAGATAC